CAGATGAATATTTATATGTTATTATTAATTATCCAAAAAATAATTATTAATCCTTTTTTGAAAAGTTCACGTTTGAATATTTTTTTCAATATTAACAATTAAAGTTGTAAATTAAGATTAACAATATCTTAATAATGATAGTAACATACTCTTTGTGAATTCTTATATTTGCAATAAAAAATAGATAAAGTTTTTAAAGAATAAAGTTGAAAAATTAATGTCTTAAAACAATATAACACAGTTTTTTAAATTAAGTCAGATTGGATGTTCTATTACTAATTCTATTTTTTATGTCTTACGAATTACAGCAAGATATTTCTATTTATAGCTATTATTATATTTGATATTTCTTTCTTAGCTTATTGGTATTGAGTCAATTAACCTTTATTGATCTATAAATATTAATATAGTATTTTTTTGTATATGTCTAGTTCTTTCTTTATAGTATATTCTTTCTTCTTTGTTAGTTATTTGTGTTGATTTTTGTTTCCATTATTTTTTTAGTAATACTATTCTGATACTAAATTCCTTTTTTGATCATTATTTATTGGGATAAATATTTCATCTAAATACTATTTTCTATACATAATATAACTTAGAAAGAAAAAAACATTTAATTTCTTTTGTTCTTAATATTAACTAAGTTAAACTCTTGAAGTACTATCTTTTACATAACTATGAGACTTTATACATTCTTATTATATCTAGATACTCTAATTAATTTCTATGACTTTGTTTTTTTTGATAGAGAATAAATAACCGAAAAACATAAACTGAAACTCTATAAAAAGAATAATACAAAACCACCTATTTACATTACGATTTCTATTACAACGGATTAAATGAAATAATTCTTGGTGTAAATGTCATTAAAAAAAAGTCAGTCTCAATTAGGAATGATAGGAAAGTTATGGTTTATTCTTGTATTAACTTTTCTTTGTATCATTTCTTTTTGTTGTTATATAAATGGTTGTGTAGTTTATTAGTTAATCTGAATGAGATATTGAAAGATTCGATTGTGGTATTTGGCATTGCCAAATGTAGAAATTCAAATACTTGTTAAAATTCAATGACAATTATTGTCATTAATTATCAACTAATTTGTGATTTTTATAATAAAAATTTGAGTTGTAAAAATGGAACAAACAAAAAAACAGCCAATCAATAAACGCTTAGCTATTTTCCATGAGACAAGTAAAAGAAAAAGTTGCTCTTCTTCTTTAGATAAAATCAAAGACATCACTTCCAGATGGTGCAGGGACTGCTTGGGGTTCAGGTTGTGTTGTTTTTGCCTTTGGATGATAAGATCCAAGTGAAGCAAAGACATCTGGTTTTGGTTGTGGTTTGGGTTGTTGAACAGGAGTGGTAGTTGCTGGTTGTTGCATAAGAGTAGAGGGTGTTGATTGCTGATAACCCATTGGTTGTGTTGGTTGTTGGGCAAACATAGAATATTGTTGTTGCATCATTGGTTGCTGGTAAGTCATAGGTTGTGTTGGTTGCATCATTGGTTGTTGATAGCCCATAGGTTGTGTTGGTTGTTGAGTAAATATAGGGTATTGTTGTTGCATATTAAAAGCAGGATATTGTTGAGAAGGATTTGGTTGTTGAGCAAATAGGTCAATTGGTGTTTGTTGTTGGACTTGAGGTTGTTGAGAAGGGGCAGGTTGTTGCATAGCTTGATCAAAGAGAGCCATAAAATCAACTTTCTTTTTAGGTTGTTCATTTTGAATATTTAAGGTACTTTGGTTCTGTTGTTGTTGAACTGGTTTAATTGGTCCAACATTATCGTTATCTTTCCAAAAGCCCGTATGAGTGTTTTGGATTTGTTGTGGTTGTTGTTGGACTTGTTGAGTTGGTTGAGTGCTAGTATGGATATTGTCTTGAACAACTGGATGATGAGTGACAGGAGGAGGAGTTTGTCCATTCATGATTTGGTCATAAGCAGCTTGATCAAACCACTTTTTGTCTTGGTATTTTAATTTCATAAACTCTCTAATTCTTCTTTCATTGCCACTTTCAGGTAATGGGTAATCAGCTGTAGTCCATCTACCAAGCCAAATTCTTCTAGCATTTTCGTTGCCAATTGTTTTAACTTTGGTAATCTCTTCTGGTTTAAAAGTTGCCATAGAAATAGATTTGACTCTATGACCAAATTCTCTATGAATACCACTACATGTTTGACATACAAAAGTACCAAAATCAGTAACCACATAGACAGGGCCAATTGCTTGGCAGTCCATGCACCTTTTATTTCCAGGGAGTTGTGACATTTTTCTTAACATTTCAGTGTTCTTTTCATCTTGTGAACGTGGCATTTGTTTAATTTTTTTTAATAAATAAGAGATGTAGATCTCATTTTTGTTATTCTTTCAAAAAGAAAATTTGATAAGTATTTTTTATAATTTTTTATTTGAAGAAATTGCTTAATTTGTATTTTTGGACTGGAGTTATTATGAGTCAGGTTCATAGAAAATAATATGGTTTAAATGTATTAATGATTTGAGGTTCTTCTATTACAGGAACGAAATCGACTGTATTTCTTTTTATGTTTTTAATTATAATTTATCCTAAATCTATTTATTTTGTCCTATCATTAATTATTTCTAGTGACTATGCTAAAAGAAGATATAAATCAATATTTCTTGTTACTTATCCGTTTATACCAAAGATAAACAAAAATAATTTATTGGAATTATCCATTCTTTAGTATCTTTTGGTTGGATTTTGTATTTAACTTCTAGGTTAGTTTTATTCTTTTTAATGAATTTTTTACTCAATCTTAAAAATAAGCATAAATAGAGCTTGATTCTAAAAAGTAAATTTCTTTATTTAATGATTGATATTTTCTCATTGTAATATGTTGAATTATCTATAACTTTTATTAAGGCAGCTTCTGTTTTGTCATTTTCATGGTATCAAATTGACTTTAAAAAAGTTTTTACTGAGGTTTTATACTTAGTATGAGAAACTAACACTTTAACTATATTAATATTAAATGTTATTTTATGTAAACATAGTTTGAATTACAAAATAAAAGAATATTGTATAATCGAGAAGTTGTTATTTTCATGATATAATCAAGAAGTTATTATTTTCATGAGACAATATTATTTGTTGAGTAATTCAGAATTTTATTAATTAATTTTTCTTGAATAATAAAAAGAGCAACAGTAATAAAACTAGTACTCTATCATTAAACAGTCTAAACGAGTAATTTTGGTTATCAAGTAAAATAATTATTCATTCTACTTCTGTTATTCAACTCATAAAAATTGAAGCTAAATAAAAAGAATAAGTTTTGAAATAACACATTCGATTATGAATGAAGATTGAAGAATAAATTAAAAATAAAGTTGAACACTAGAATGATAACGATAGCAAACGCTAGTTTGTATACTCATGGTAAAAAATAATTGGTTAATTTCTTGTCTCTCTGTGATGAGTTTTTATTATATTTTTTTATTTTAAATGTTTTAAAGTAGATATTCAAAAAATGAGAGAATCTAATAAATGAGAAACATGGTCTAGTCTAAAAATAACAAGTATTTATATGAGACAGTGGTATATAGTTTATTAAAAATAAATAAATATATTCTAAAAGATTAAAAATAATGTTAATTGATTTTATTATAATTTTAGTACAATAATTTGTTTAGATCATGAAATAAGAGATGGAAAATAAAAATAATTAATTATTAATGGATTCGTTTTTATTATTTCTAGCTTGAGGGACACTAAACCTGTCCCCGAGTCGTTTCATAACATATATACAGAGTATTTCTGTTATAGTAGAGGTAATGTTTTTTATTACAACAGTTTTCACTTCTTTTATGATGTTTATTTTCATTTTTTTAATTCCTAATTGATTAATGCTTTCGGTACTTACCATCAGATTTATTGAAATTATTACTATGTATTATTTTTTTCTTATTTCCTTTCTTCAATTATTCTCTATACATTTAATTATAATTTCCATTCATTTATTATTCTATTTATTTGTTTTCAATTATTATTTTTATTTATATTCATTTCTTCTAATTCTTTATTTTTTTTCATTTGTTGTTTCTTTTATTTTCATAATCATTGTTACGTTATTATCATTATTTTGTATTTCAATATTTCTTTCTTTGTTAAACTTCTTTATCATATTGACATAATAATATTATTTATATTATTATTCTTGTTGTGTGTTCCTCGCTTTTTCTTATTGTTATTCAATCTTGTTGTTATACAATGTTTCATTTGATTTACTTATTCTATTATTCTCTTTCTTTATCTTAATACAGTTATATCATTGATTTTATATGATTTCATCCTTATCCATTATTTCTCCTTTCTCTTTCTTTCATTTTAATTTTAATATTAATTATCATCATTTATTTTTCATTTTCGTTTTTTTTTATGGAATTAGATTATCCTTTTTTATTTATATCTTCATTCTTATTTCATTCTTATTTTCATTTCATCACTACTATGTGATATACATTAATTGTAATGAAATGTTTTGTTATTTCTTATTTTTTATTATCTTCTTATTTCTTGTTTATATTATTGTTATTTAAAATAATAAAAATAAAATAATGAATGATAAAAAAATATCAATTAATAGATATATCCATAATTGGATTTTCTTCATATTGAGAAGTGATTGTTTCAGTTTCTTCAATATGCTCCATTTCTACAATAGAGTTCACTTCTTAAAATAATGAATGATAAAATAAATAAATAAAATAATGTGTTATAAACGTGTATTTAATTATTTATGAATCTGATTTTAATCTGAATATTATTAAATTAAAATGGATGAGTTAATAAACAAGAACACTCATTTCTTTAAAAGAGAAAATAGAACA